GTGAATGAAGTTGGCTCTTTTCTGCCTTGACTGCTTTGTGTATTGATCCTGAGTCAGGTTCACTAAGTATTTCATCAGCACCATGGATGGCTGTTGGCCCACCTAGGTTAGCCTAAGCATATTTATTAATAAAATCATGTACCACATAGCTTTTTCTGTGGCCTCTCTATGACTCCATGCACATGAAGCAGAGTGAGCGCTTAGATTCAGAGATTGGGACTGTGCAGCCCTCCCCTCCTTATCTTTCCAGCACTCCCTTGTCAACTTCATCCATGCCTCATTATAATATCTGCACCAAGCTAACCCGGTGTAACATTAACCAGACTTGTCATCTTAACCAACATTTGAAGCATGTTTGCAAACCCTGTTAAACAGGAAACCTGAGTGGCATTAACTAAAGTTGTCACTACTGTGGTTCAAACACTAGAACCTGTTTAAAGCAGACAGTGATGTCCAACCAGTGTCAAAGGCCTGCACGGACCTTAAGCAACACCTGACCTTCAGTTGTGTTGGTTTGCAGAGTCTCCAACAAAGAGGCCTAGGAGCCAAGTCACAAAGTCGTCAAGGAAAAGCAAAAGAGAATTTGCCTCGGAGAAGGCAGGCTAGGGCCTTCTTGCTGTCTCGTAACCATTGTTACGATGTACCATTACATCATCACCAGGCTTTCGGAGACCAAAGTGCATCTGTGAAAATGCTGCCTCACATCAGGGTTCCTTTTCAGATCTGAAATGAATGTTTGTAGATTTTGTTGTTAAAAGGGGGATTTTACAGCAAGAGCAAAGTAGGAGAGGTGTGTGCCCTTCTCAAACGGTTCCAGTATGGACATGTGCAAACACGTTTTTGTGCTCCTGTGCATAGAGACACACTTGTGCCCTTGCAGCTAGTACAGTTTGTGTTCACCTGCACACATATTTCTTCAGCCATTCACCATCCTGCATGCCGGCCTGCAGTGCAGCGGGGAGTTTGCTGCAGACCCCAGAGAAAAGGCAGGGGGTGCTTTGGGGCAGCTCTGGATAGAGAGGCAAGTGGGCTAGAGGGACAAAAGGTTGGGCACATTTGAGCAGAGGAGAGCCCTTTCCCACCCTCAACTGTTGTTTCTTTGAACATATGCAGAGGGCCTGCCCCTAATCTTTGAGTTAACTGCATCTGGTGTGCATGCACCACATGCATGCCTCAGGATCTGGGCATAAGGGCCTCTCTTTGCATCTGTCTTCAGCCTCAGAAACCCTTATTTCAAAAAAGCAAACCTTTTCCTTTCCTGTGTCAGTAAAATGTAATCACCCTCCCAAGGGGAAACAGGAGCAACTTGTGCACTGCCCGTGTATCATTCCCTCCCTTGGGTTTCCTGAAGTTTCCCTTGGATTGTTGCTTTGTTCTCTCTTTTCCTCCTCCTTCGTCTTTTTGCTTCTCTGATCGGTTAGGAAGCTTTCCTTCCCCATCCTCACCAACACACAAGCGTGCCTTTCTCCCCATGCTCCCCACTGCCCCCAACTGCAAGTGCTTCTCTCCTTCTCCCTCCTTCCAAACACTTCGGCCATTCAGAGTGGGTGAGCAGCGTGCTCTGGGTTTGGCTTTCTGCCTTTTCTGCTCTATTTGTCGGGAGCCAGAGAGGGAGAGAGCAAGCCGCTCTCCCAATCACATTTGGTAATAAATTATTAGTTCCGCTGCTTTCGCTCCCATAAGCTCAAAATAGCTGCCTTTTTTGAGCAGCCGGCAGCCGGCGCGGGCTGAGTTCAATGGCAGCGAGCTCCTGAAGGGTGCTTGACTATCATTATGGCCCTTTCAAGGTGCTTGCGCGCTGCCAAGCCAGCCAGGAGTTTAACTGACGCTGCTGAACCTGCACCCGCTCTACGTCTCCTGGCAACCTTTCCCGGGTGCCAGGTGGAGCCTGCCTGTAGGGGCTCTGGCGATTTCTACCAAGTGAGCTGGCCTTGCTGGTGTAAGGGCAAGGAGGGAGAGGAGCTCCCATCCGCCTTTCCCTCCCTCCCTCCCTCCCTCCCTGCATCCCCTGATTTATGGGCTGCTTCTCCCTCTACTCGCAGCACGCTTACCTTGCTGCTCTTTGCGAGAGACTATAAATCTCCCTGCACACCTGCTGCCGCTGCCAGGTAATTGGTGTATCCTTCAGATGCCAGGGCTCCAGAGAGCCTGACCTGCCATATTTTATGAAGCAGGGCAGGGGGGAGGCAGAAGAGAGGTTTAGGTTAGCGCTGGGCTTGGCATGAATTCAGGACGCCAGGTGGCACAGACCTTCTCCCGGTGCTATATTTGAACATAGAATCTGGGGAAGGAGTTGAAGCCTTGGTTTTAAGCTATCCTTCCAGACCAGAAGCCCTATATAGACTTCAGGGGATGAGTGTCCTTAGAAAGGGGTGGCAAGTGAACTCTGTGCATGTTTTGATGCCCTTTTTGTACTTTTATGTCTCCTGGCACTTGAAACTGCTTCTTAGGCCAGGTTGTGCTTCAGCCTAAGCCTTGTTCACTTCTTATTCTCCTATATCTTCCCGAGCTATTTATCTGTCTATCTATATACACATATTTCTCTCTCCTACCCTTTTAAAAATAAGAAATAGTAACCCAGTCTGTTTAAGGGGTGTCAAGGCCAAGCAAGATGTACACATTGTTAGCCTCCCCACCCCAAGTAAATTCAAGGTATGTCTTGATTGGGACTGTGGCATGGGAAGGAGAGGTGGGGGCTTTAATACTTTTACCATCACCCCACAGCATTCTAAAACAGGGACCAACAAGGAACTTTCTATCCCAATGCTAATAGCAGACACAGGACCTCTGATCTAGTTTGGGATTTCAGCTGTGGGGGCAAAGGGTTAAATCCCCCTGTACCAGTCTTCCAATACAGATTCTGTCCCCCAGTTTTCAATTTATTTTTTGCAAACCATTCATTTAGCTATTACTTGTGTGAAATGGCATTGCACTTAGTTTCGTCCTTGGTGCTATTGAGGCCTAAAAGCTGGTCAAGGTTGAAAAGCAGAGTTGTTTGCAAAGAGCCAGGAAAGACCTTCAGTTTTGGTTGGGCTTGGTAACCAACTGTTGCTTCTGGAAGCCAATAAAGTCTGGCTTTCTCCCTTGCTCTCCCTACCCTGAGATGTGAAGGGGTTTTTTTTTGGGGGGGGGGAATAACACAGGGAGGAGTTGATGTGAGGATACTCCTCTCCTCCACATCACAACCTGAATGAGGAGGTTTGTAACAGTGCTTGTGGGCCCCTGGCGCTGGTGTGGCTGCCTGCCTGCCTGCATTCCATATGGAGGAGCTGCCCTAGTGAGGTTCTACTTGTCTAGAGCACAGCCCCAGGCCCAGCTTATGTAGTGTGTGGTCCCTATGCTAATTGTCCCAGTATGAAGCTTGAAGGCAACTCTACTATTGGTGAATTGGGAGCACAGTTCCTATAGTTGGACTCTCTAGACCCAGGAGTTTATGAAACTCTGGTCCATGATCTTCATTCAGGCGGTCCACAGCCTGTCTGTAAAAATACAATTAAAAACCATGCACCTAGCACAGTGCATTACAGTTGTTACTACAAGCAGAAAAATTATTAAGAGCTCCACCAAGACCTTCATCAATATTTCAAATGACCCATGAGGAAAAAATTTGGGAACCACTGCTCTATTGCTTCCTTGCAGGCTCCTTCCTGATCCAAAAGCATTTTACAGACAGATAGACAGACAGACAGACAGACAGATGTTCCAGAATGGGAGCATCAGTATTTTCCATTCTGAGAACAGGGCCAAAAACAGAGGAGAGAGTCCCCATTCTGTGCCTGAAATTTACTTTTTAAAAATCCATTCACTCTGTTGTGTACTGTTTGAATGGCATCACATCTAGCTTGGCTCAGAGACTCACAGCCTAGAGTGGGCCTCTTCTATGATGGATAGAAGAATAAAAGAGTCACCTGGTTCTTCAGAGCAGCTGGCTCCTTGGGTACCAGGATGCCTGCCTTGGTGGGTGAGCAGAGCAACAGCTGGCCGGTTGCTGCCTCCTAGTGGCTGCTACAGCGAATGCAGCTTCTCTGACCCATGAGTACATCCTGGGTGGGTGGGGGATGTTGTTAGTGCTCAGCTCTTTGGAGCCCTTCAAAACAATTCAAACAAAAGCACTTGAAACCAACAGAGAACAAGCAACTGTGACATTTGGAGCATTTGGCTAGGGCCGGAAGGCCACAGAGACTTGGGTCTCTGCTTCCATGCATTAGTCTCTCCGGATGAATTGATGTAAACCAGGATTGAGCATGTGTGCCTTAAGCAGAGACCTGGTTGTTCCAGATGACTCCAACCAATGAGCCAAGCCACATGCAGCAAAATACAGAGGCTTTGCTCACTACAAACTTCTGGTGTTTGGGGGAGCGCATGAATGAGAAAACCATGGCTGGCGCTTGCCTTGACACTTGACTTGTGAGCTTTCCGGAGGCATCTGGCTAGCCATCTTGAGAAACAGGAGGCCAGAGTAGGCAGATCTTTGGGCTAATCCAGCAAGGACTCTTAGGTAAGCTGAACTAAGAGCGGGGTGTGTGTGTGTGTGTGTGACTGTTCCCAGGCACAAATATCACAACCAGTGATTTACACAGACATGTTATGTCTCTTTGATATCTCTCCACTCAGTGGCCGGCAGCTGAATGTGAGAACTGCCTCCAGTATGAGAAGCAGTTTGATGTTTTCAGTGAAACTTTTGCATGTGCCAATAGCAGCTCTATGCCCTGTAGCCAGTGAGCAATAAACAGGGAGTCTGTATCTGGACACCTGTTGAGCCTCTGTAGCAGGAAGCTTTATTGGGACCCAGGGGTAGGGCGATAACTCAGTGGCAGAGCACCTGCTTTACATTCAGGTTTCCCCAGGTTCAATCCCCAGCATCTCCAGATAGGGCTGGGAGAGACTCCTGTGTGAAACCCTGGAGAGTTTCTGCCAGTTAGTGTACAGTCAGTACTGAACTGGTTAGAGTAGTAGCTGGCTATGTATAACACAGTTTCCTATTTTCCTCATATTGTTTTGTCATAGGTCAGTGGCAGAGCACCTGCCTTACATGCAGAAGGTTCCTGGTTCAATTCCTAGTGTCTCCCAGTAGGGCAGGGAACATCCAATCTAAAACCATGGAGAGCCACTGCAAGTCAGTGCAGACAATACTGAGCCAGGTGGACTAATGGCAGCTTCCTGTGTTCCCCTCCTCCCCACCCCTGCAAGAAAACACATACATTCTTACTTCCCTCTAGGAATTCTCTGCTTCTTCCATGTCCTCCTGAGGTAGTGGAAGCACCTCTCCTTGTGCTGCTTTGATCCCAGGAGGGACCCACCTTCCTCACCGGCAGACCTGTGCTCCACTGCCCTGCATATCAGTTCAGCCTAAGCAGTTCTTCAGAGCCAAGGGGATTTGGGTATAATATGCACGTTTCAGTCCTCCTTTGTCCTCGCCTGCTGCTTGCCTGTCTTGGTTTATTTCCAAACCCCCTTCCAAACGCACATGCAACCCACCCACCAGCTCACTCGGCAGGCAGACAGGTTCTGCTTTTGCTGCTCTGGGCAGCTCCCCCTTGCGAGAAACCCGCCAGCATCATCAGCAACAGATGGGGAGAGGATGGCAGGTTCCCACCTCTCAGTTTCCTGCCGAGGGCAAAGACACGGGGCGTGTGTGGCGCCTGCCTCAGCAGCAGTGCCAGGCAAGTGCTGACAAACACGCTTGGGGCTCCTCAAAGGCCCGGCTGTCGGGTGAGGGGGGGGATGTCTTGGAGTAGAACACACCTGCGCCAGGCACAGCAATGCCAAGGGAGCTAACTGCCTGTCGGGCGCTGCCAGTGGCATAGAGAGGGCCTCCAGGAACGAGATGATGCCCTGAAGCAGAGGAGCTGTAATAGGGAGGTTTTCTCATTCATGCGCTGCAGCCTGCAACAATCCTGTTTGAATCTTTAGATGTTTGAGACAAGATCCCAGGAGCTGTTCAAGTCTATGAGAATTCTGGGACCTACAGCTCTCAGGCAGCTTATGGGTCCATTGTAGTATATTGTACTCTTAATCTCTGCCTTGGGTATTTTTCATGAAATGGTAAGGTGATGAACACCTGGCTTCCCCCCTTGACTCCCTCATACCCACCACCTTAGGGGCACAGGAATGGAGCTTGAGGTTGTGTTTCATACCAAGAGGTCCCCCCCCCTCTCTCTCTGTCACACACACATTATCTTACACTCCGTATTCAATACAGTATGCCTGAAGAAGCAACCCCACTTGCCCCTTCCTTGGCAAAAGGCAACTTCTCTCCAAGAGAACTTCACACTGTTTTGACAGACCTTCTAAATGAGTTCACTGACACTGGAGTCCATTGTAGTCCCTTCCCACCCATCTGCACTCTGCCCTGTGTAAAAGGGCAAGCCACTTTTGTTCATAAGGCAGGCCAAGGCAATGGCAGAAAATAGAATGTCAGACCTCAGAGTCCTGACTTAAGGACTCTCTGCCCTGCTCCTGATTGAGAGTGAACCTGTAAGATCTTCCAATCTGCAAGACAGCTTCTGAGATACAGCATATCTTGGTCAAAGTGCCTGCCACAAGTATACCTTGTTGCTGAGGTCCTTTACTTTTCCTAGCGGGAAGCTATTATCCTACATCTTAGTGATGGTTGTGGTGAGATACGCATACTGCTACCGTGTGTGTGTGTGTGTGTGTGTGTGTGTGCGCGCACACACACACACACACACACTTGTAGGCACTGATCTTTCTTGAAAATCCATTCACTTCATAATTTTTCCTTCAGTGGTGCATATATTTCTTGCTTCATCTCTCCTGCTTATTTGTTGTAGGGAACAATCAGCTTTCTGTAGCTTAAATATTTGTGCAAGTTACTTTGTCATTTACATATTTTTGTAAGTCACTTAGAGACTTCTTTGCAAAAAGTGATGAACACAGCCAATAAACACCTGGATTAATACCAAATTACAGCTGCATCACTCTTCCAGTGTGTATGTGTGTGTGTGTGTGCGCGCGCACACACACACACACACACACACACACAAGCTTCCGCTTAATTTTTTTTGAAAACCTGCCTTGAAGGAAAGTTCTGTTTAACTAGCAGGCTCCTGGGTTTTGGCAATCACTTAGTCTCTTCCTTGCTCTGTGGGACGTCCACAGACCTGGGTTTAAATCCCCATTCAGGGCTCCTCCAGATGACCTGTTTATTAAGCATTCATCCTGTTTTGCTTGCACAAAACTTACATGGAAGTTAAATCATATTCGGTATTCATTGAACGTTCATTCTGATTTGTTTGCTGGGCAGTTATACCACAACAGACATTCACTGGGGGGCTGTAATGGTTCAGAATACCAGTTGCTGGAAACCCCAGGAGAGGAGAGTGCTCTTACGCTCAAATCCTGCTTGTAAGTTTCCCAGAGGCAACTGGTTGAGCACTGAGAGAACAGGATGCTGGACTAAATGGGCCATTGTTATTACTTCTTGCAGGGTGTTTACACATCTTCTCATCAATCATTTGTTCATCTTGCACTTCCCAGTGCATTTCCCCATCACTTTCCTAACCCACAAAAGTCCATGTGTGAGGCTAGAGCAGTGGTGGGAAAATGGTAGCACTCCAGATGTTGCTGGACTACAAATCCCATCATCCCTGACTATTGGCCATGTTGGCTGGAGTGTGTGTGGAGGCCCACAGAAGTTCCCCATCCCTTCCCTAGTGCCACGGAGAGCTTTATTCCACTTTTAAATGAACAAACCTACATTTCCAGTATGTGCTTGAATCTCTCCTGACAAGAGACACCCTTAGCCATGAAACTCAAATGTGTGGCCTTAGGCTAAGAGGTGATGCCTGGCCTCAGTCAGCTCCCAAAATGATGACAGTAGTGATGATGACTTACACTTGTAAGTCACTTTGTTCACAAGGTAAACTCAAAGTGACTTGCAGAAGCAAGCACTGAAAACAAAGATAAAAACAACCTAAAATGGTCACCTATAATATGTATGAAAAAGATGGTTCTTGTGAGTTTAATATGACAGTGTAAGGGTAGAGGAGAACCTTTGTAGGCTACCTTGATCTCTTTAAAAGGAATAGTAGGATACGGGTGTAACTTGTGATTAATATATATATTTTTTTAGAAGACATTTTTCAGATGGAGGTTTTTAGCTGCAGGGCTGCTGTGACAAACGTGTGACAAACATTTACCAACAAGTTAACATAGTTTCTTTTGGAGGGGGTAAGATGCCCTGTGGGTCTGCTGCTACACCCCAAAAGACATGGGTTTTATAACTTCAGTAAATAAATAGATGGCTTGGCTAGCTGAAATCCTGGCTCTGGAAGGGCTCAGATACCTCTGGAGATGGCAAGTGCACAAAAGCAGCAAAAAGAAATCCTGTTTGGGTTGTGTTAAGGGTATAGGCAGAGAAGAAAATAGAGGGGTCACAAAGGATTGCTACCTGGGAAGGGACCAAGGCTGAGGGCTTTGTTCCCAGAAGATCCCTGGTCCAGACCCTTTGTATCTCAAATTAAAAGGATCAGGTACAGGTGGTAGGGAACACTTTGCTCTGCTGGAGAGCTTGAAAACCTGTGACCAGCTGGAGAACAAGACAGTCCTGGCTTAGCTATGCGAATAGGCTGATATAAGGCAGCTTCCTGCAATCCTATATGTGTTTCATTTAGAGGTCTTGCTGGGCGCTGTGTAAATTCACCAGAATGGCAAGGTGATGACAGAGGGCTGTCACCTCTTTCTGTCCTGTGCCTCTACAAAGTGTCAGGTGGAAGTTGTTTTCTCAGAAGTGCACTTCAGCACTGTGGAGAAGTTCATCTGTTGGATTTCTGCCTGCTGTGCAGCTGCTCAGGGCCCAGGAAACCTTCCAGAAAATGGAGAGAGAGAGAGAGGAGGCCAGCATTGTCTAACTGCGGCAGAGAAGGTCAGCCCTTTTTATTTTCTTCTTCCCAGGACTGTCAGCACAGGAAAGAACAGGAGTGGGTGGGAGGGGTGAAATTATCTGGCACCCCAGGGTGTGTCTTGCAGCATCAGCAGGTGGTTTTTGGCAGGGGACACAAGCAGGAAATCCCGCCCTCTTCTGTGTGGGCCGCCTCTGCCGAAAGAGAGAGTGAGAGAGAGGTGCCGGAGAATGATTCTGATTCCATTGGTTGTGAGGGGAAATTCTGGGCTGCTGCTTGCCTTTTGAAGGTGAGTTTGAATGGAGAGTCCTCTTTTGATTTTGCCAGGTGCCCCCCCCCCACTCTCTTCTTTGGGAGCCCAGAGGCTTCATTTTCATTTTTGCAAAACATCTAGCCTCCACCACAAATAAAACATGCTCAGGAAACAGCGCTGTTCCCACACAGTGCTTGAGCGTGTTTTTAAGAAAGGCAGTGGTCAGCGTCTTAGGGGGGGGCACACTCTTTATATCAGGGTGGGCAGAAGGTGGGTTGGAACCTCTCTTGGTGACTCACAGCAAATGTTTCTGACTCCTAAATAATTTTGACAACAAATCAACTTTTTCCATCTAAATTAAGCTGCCGAAATGAAGAAAGCCATCCAGGAGCAGACTTTGGTGTGAAAGGAGATGTGAGCTGGGTTCAGTTCTAGTACTGAAAAAACATTTCTAGGCTCAGGACTGCTCAGGGGGTCTTTATTTCTAACTGTATGTATTTAGCACCCAGCTCTGGTTGATAGATTGAGAAGCAGGGTGTCTAGTAAAAGACAGCAGCGATCCAACAACCCTAAATTTACCTACTCCTGTTGTACTTGTTCAGAAGTCACCTTCCATGATTGAACACTGGTACTGAAATTAGAATTTAGGGCCTGGCTGAAACCCTGTGTTAGGGGTGGACTGGGGAGATGGGCAATGTCCTGTAACTATTGTTTGCTAGAACCGTTTACAGGTGTAGCTGGGATGCGGGTGGCGCTGTGGTCTAAACCGCTGAGGCTCTTGGGCTTGGCAATCGGAAGGTCAGCAGTTTGAATATGCAAGATGGAGTGAGCTCTCATTGCTCTGTTCCAGGTTCTGCCAACCTAGCAGTTGAAAAGCACACCAGTGCAAGTAGATAACTAGGTACCGATGTAGCAGGAAAGTAAACGGCGTTTCCATGTGCTCTGGTTTCCG